AGAGAAGTGGATCCCACTAAGGAAAGCTCTGAGTCAGCCAAGGGAGTTGGAGCACAAAGGGAAAAGAGGGATTGTCGGGAAGAAAGCACAGGCTGCAATGTAGCAAAGAAGTGACAACTCCTAGGGTGGGGAAAGCAAGATATCGTCGCTCAGCCGAAGCAGAAAAACTTAAGAGGAGGTTTTTTCTATGAATAAAGGAGTTCCACAGCCAGAATGGTTCGTTTCAGATTAAATCATCTTTTCTTTGTGACTAGTAGTGTCCCGCAGCGTTTAAACCAAAAAGAACAACAGGTTGAAATGGAGGAAGCATAAAATGTCAGGCAATTGATGGAAATTTGTTCCTCATTACAGCCACAGGAAGACAATGGCTTTTCACTTTATCAACCTTTTATTGTTTTTAGACAAGTAACTGAGGCTCTTTATCTTGATCAGGATAGACAATTAAGGTATAAACATTATGGTAATACTGTTTTTCATATTGTTTTTGTCGTATCCGTAACTGAAATATCATTATATTAATATATTTATAAAATATTTCCTTTTTCTTTCCATAAAAAATATTTAAATTATAACATTAACACATTTCAACAAATTCAAATTAACAAAAAATTAATTTTTTTGACAAATTAATCTGATGAAAGAACAGTGGCGGCAGTTGTACACAAAAACTAAATTTTAAGAACCTTTGCTACAGAAAAGGGCGAAAGCCAAGGTAACAGAAAGCCGTGTGGCGCCCAAGCGAATTGGCTGCGGCGGCGGCTCGAAATCCAACTCGACGCTTCCAGTGTGCCCGAGAGCTAGGAGCAGGCGAAACGTGTCCATGACGTAAGCCGTTGCTAAGAGAGCGAAGAATAATGTTTTTTGGGTCGGGGGGGGGAACGGGATGGGTCCCATTCGGGACGCACGTGCCTGGTCTGCAATGGCAAAAGGCAAAGTAAAGAAAGAATTTGCCGTAGCCGTTGGATGAAACCGATGATTGGTGACAATTGAAATCACCTTTATCGAACGGACGTCGCGTGATAATACGACGACGTTGATATCTCTCCTCAGTGTGCAATGCGTCACACGCCAATACAAAGAGCAGAATGCCACCAGAGCGAGCTCAGAGTGAGTTTTAGAGGATTTTGCCTTTTCACACTATTTCTCCGAAGAATCTGCTCGTCCTAACATTTGGCACGTGTTGAGCACGAGCTTCTTTTTCAATGGTCCCACTACTTGTCTTGGTCAAACTTCGGTCGGGTCGGTGCATCGCTAATTCATAGTTTTAATAGTTGTAAAATTAGATAACGATGGAAAGGGCTTAGTACTATAGAAGCATTTCTGGGAAAAAAAATGCAGGGAAATATAACTCTGAGCTTAAACACTCTATTAAAGTCTAGTACAAACAATATCGATAGGATGATATTATCATAGAGCAAAGAGTTCTTTTTCCCAAGGTCTGAGTCAGTCGTTCAATTTGCAAACATCGATGAACTTCTGAACAGCATTGTGGTACTGGGTTCCCTGTAATAACCAAACAACAGTTATAACTTACAAGCATGCTAGTAAAGTAGGCTGCTAGAGATCTATCCATGCAATGGAAGACACCAGATTTTCAGGACATTATTATAGTTTTCGAACAAAGGTACGTCATAGGATGACAATGTTTTAATTCAAGCGAGGGCAGATATATTTGGGCCACCACCTATCTATACAGGGCATAGAACCGAGTTGCCATCATAATGTAGAGATCAATGATTAACCTAAAGAAACCCCCCATAAAGATCTCAAGGGAGAACCTCTATTCCTTTTTGACTTTTCATTGGAATGGTGATGCGGATGTGGACCTCTGTTTTAATAGGGTGTACCAGAAAAGCCAACCCTCTAGATGACCCGCTTCCCCGTGTTAGCACATGGAGAGATCCAGCCCCAAACTCACAATTATTCTTTCGAATCAATATGCCGTGGTTTTAGTCTGGAGAGACTGACGAGCAGGTCACGAGCAACCACACTAGTCCCTTTGAAACAAGGGACCAATAAGAGAAGGATGACATAGTAAATCTACAGCAGATTAGTTTTCTCAGGAACTGAAACCTACCTGACATTTTGAAGGATTGTCTGATTAATAAAATTTGTCATCAGTGTCAATGAAGCTTTAATTCAGGATGAGGATACTATGAGAACAAGCTAAGGCCATGGAAGTCCCAAGTTCAAATATACCCCCACGCCCACATTTAATGGTGCAATGCTAGCTATTAAGAGTATGAAGTAATTGGGTGATTAAATCATCATAAGAATTGAGGTCATTTGATGCGGCTGAAGTCATTGGTAGTGGGGGTGGGTTTAGATAGAGATCCAGGATTCAAGCCTTATAGTTTGTGCTCTGTGTTAGCAAAGAAACTCATTTTAAAGACCAAGGAAAAGAAGCAAGAAACTACCTCCCAGTAAAGTTGGTTGCAGTCCATGCATTGCCAAAATTCTAAATTTTTGTCAAACAAGCAGTTCGGAATTCTTTGGAAGCCCTTCGCAGCTTCAATGGCCTCTTCTGTTGTCAGCGGCTTCTGAATAAATCTCCCATTGCATTTGGTGCACCTCGACATTAGCTGATCCTCACTAATTTTCAATTGGAAAATCTCAATTACCTGCAAAATGTTTCATGAATTTTAGGCCTCGTACATTTTATCCTCTTAATTTTATTTTGGCCTCCATAAACCTGTTTATATTTTGGCCTCAAAAGACCAAGTTGAACTTCCAGGAAAAAAACTCCTTATGACTGCATGCACACCTCAATTAGCTGTTCATTTTTCAGAAGATTCTTCACCCTATATATTTGATTCTTTAGCAGATACTGGTGTCTCAATAGCTTGGCATCTCTTGTCAAAAGCACTCTCTTCTCTTTGTAAGCTTGATCTATTAGCTCCCTAAAAGCAAGAAGAATTTGATTAAAAAGTTAATACTTCCTTGCTATTATATGTTCAAAAAAGTACCCAAAAAATGTCCAGAAATATAACACAAAAACATAAAGCAACATAGAGGAAAACCTGGGTTCTGGCTTTTTGGAAAGTGGAATCGCAGCATCTACACCAACACAACGTAGATGTTTCGCCAAGCCTTCAACCTAAATAAGTATTTTGTTACACTCCCACCAACACTATAAACAGTAATAATACAGACTTTACATTATCCTGTAGTGTTAATTCGAAGGAGTCCTCGAATAAAACTAAATTGCAGATAGTGAAAGAAGGAAGAGAGAAATTTATTGCAGGCCACTACTAATACGACAGTCTTACATGCAACAAATCTTTGTTTTGGATTCAGTCAAGATCTAAACGCCTCCATAGATAAAGGAAAAAGAACAATAATGTGCAATTAAGCACTTTACATACCATCACATCACACAAAAACTTTGGCCATCCATCACCCCCCAAGGATATATCCCATGGTGGGAGGCCTTCCCAGTCACCAGAACTATCTAGCTGGTTTTTTTTGCAAGCAGCAACCACTGAGGACCGCTTTTTTCCATTCTTTCTGGAAGTTTTCGGCTTTCTATCAGATTCACGCAACAAAAGTTTTTCGCCATATTTTCTTACTATCTTCCAGAGGGATTCATCCATAGGCTTAGTTTTTCTGATTACCTCCAGTCCCCTGGCTATTCTTCCACAATCTTCAGAAGATGCAGTAGCCTGGACAATATCCAGCGCATTGCAAAATTTGGTCCCAACTAGCTTATTGTCACCATCAGGCATCTGAAAAATATCCTTCAGTCCTAAACTCAAATTAAATTCATGCAGTTCCTTGACATCATTACACGATTTCCCTGAAATAGAAGGCAGTCCAGATATTTTCGGCCTAACTCATAAGATAATTCAGGCAACTGATAAGCCAATAAGAATCTCATGGAAGTAACAATAACAGATGCCCTGTTCATAAAGATGTTCAAGTAATAAACTTGATTTGCCACTTATAATGCTCAATAAATGGAAGGGCAGTAATGTAAACAACTTGAACCTTTGTAATCAAAGGAGATGCAAGGTATGGAGTACACCAATATGGTTGTAGCAAACAGAGAGAAAATTCCATCTCAAAGGGGAAGAAATAATGCACAGCGTCCAGAAAAAGTTGTCTGAAACTCTAACATAATAAGATGCAAATATTAATTTGCTTCATTGGACCATAATCACAAAAGCAAGAGATGAAGAGAATTTCTGTTGGCAAGGGGAAGCTGTATATATCACCAACATGCAGAGTGCTCTATCATGACAAATAGAACATATATTATATAATAAAATTTAAAAATATTGTTTAACCCTTGCATCTTATTCGTGTATGACTAATTTTCTTTTCTTTGACTGATCCCTAATTGCAGAAGAAGTTTCAGAAAGATTATTTTGAGAGAAGTAAGTCTGCTTTCAATGCCTTTGAGAACAATATGTCTGAACGACCATGTAAACATTCAGATATCAATGATGCAAAATATTTTAAAATTCAAATCCATCAAATTGCCAAATCATAAATCACAGAGTAATGCAGAAATTTGATTTTATAAGCATCTCTTAGTTTTATATTTTGTAAACCAAACTAAAATCACAGGACATATGGAAAATAATTTAGAAACCATATATCCATTCATATAATTCCCACCTGCAGCAAAGTCTGCAATACCCGAAATCATATGAATGAAGTAATGACAAATTACAAGAGGTAACATGCTATGTGGTTTGTCAATAGATGCACACGCACATGTCCTAAAAGATAGCTATCACAGCGAGAATTCTATGGAGAGTAAACTCAGAGGAAAAACTAGGTCTAGCTTTCTTAAATGTCAAATAGCTGGAAAGGATGAAAAGTATTCTAAAGGAGTGATTTTCTGAGGTACAACAAAAACAAACATTTTAAAGACACAGCAATTTTAGCCTAAAATTTTGCACAAGAAATCTGATCACGATCTACAGATTCCAAATTCAGAGATAGTTTTCACCTTCTTTGACAACCTTGGCCTGGAAGATTTTGAATATTTCAAGCAAGCAGTGTGCATCTGTAGCGGCATATCTTAGCTGCTCTTCTGTAAGAGGACGACGGGACCAATCACTACATTGAAGTTCCTAAAAAGGATTCGTATATTACATTAACAAATTGCTAAAACAACTTGGAATAATTGCCACATAATCATATAGGAACTACAGAACCTAATAATTGACTCTCCAAAAGCTACCAATTTTAGTGGCTAATTCCTACGCACAAATTAGATGCAGGTTAAACAAATGAGTTCCATTGGAAAGAGAGTGAGAGACTCCTACACCTAACCAATAAAAGAGAAAAAGGAAACAAGGAACCAAATTGTTACCACCACCGTGGATATTGAAAGTAGAAAACTTATCATTTTATATCCTGATCTTTCACTGATTTTCAGGAATTGTTCTAAAATATAAAAAACCCTCATAATGAAGAGTTTTAGGAAATCAGATCTCATCTTTTTCATTCATTATCATCACTCTCCTTGCAGCCAGTACTAGGATATCCCCTATCACTCATTTCCTCGCACATAATTATATTAGTGAGAGCTAGTAAACACCCACTAAAACATAGATATTTCAGTGGCATTATATCGAAATTAAACTAGGAAAATATTGAATTATCTTGAATTGACAAATGACAACACATATCAAAGTTACAAAAGTACAAAACCAATAGATTTCTCAACTTAACAAATATTATCAACCCATAACATTTAATAATGAATGGAAACTTGGGTGTCAAAAACACATACCTTGGAAAGAGAAATACCCAACACTTCTTCACATATAGCTGACAAACTCTTTGTATCCTTTGATACCTTCTTTCCTTGTTTATGTTGCAAAAACTTGTGCATGTTCGTGATGTCCAAATAGGGCTCCACCTATTCACCATTGTTAGACAAAATCTTAGCACAATATTACGGTGAAAATTTGACTGACCATTCTTTTTTTGTAAAGAAAACCTTACTTTATCAAAGCCAGGATCACATCCTTCAGCACCAAAAGTGGAAGACAAGAAAATCAAATCTTGCTTGAACTTAAACCCCAATTTCAATATATCTGGTGAAACAAACACGTCCTTTAACAATTCCCATATCGAAGGTAAGGGAATTGACACGAGGTCGAGCAAGAAGACCACCGACTCGTCCCACTCGGCCGGGTCGTCGCCGAGTTGACACGCGAGTTGGAGGAGGGCGACTGTGGGGAAAGTGGACCGTTGGGACCGAATGGGTTTCCATTCGGCGTCGAGCCCGATGAGGGTGGAACGAGAGAGGGCCCGAGTCAGGTGAGTGAACTCGTCCGAGTCTATCGAGGAGACCAGGTGCGCATCCATTGTAAAGAGAAATTCTAATGGATTGTGCAAAATTTAGATGGGGTTGTTTCTTTTAGAGCCTTGGGTTCTTGATCTTTTGGGCCCTCATAATATAAATTGGGCTTTGCTTTATTTCGCTTTCCAAATTTACTAATTATATTGTATATATTTATATTTTTAAGTTAAAAATATTATTATTTTTTATAGACTGTCAATTTATGTTCTATCATTTGATCACAGAATATTTTATGCAAAATTTTTTTAAAAAAATTATAAATATTTATTTTTGAATATTCTAAACTTTTGAATTTATTTATCAATAAAATTATAACATTTTATTAAGTGATAATATAAAATAATGATACATTTATAATGAAACAAATATAAATTTTGTTAAATTATTATAAATACTTAAAAGTTCATCTAAGGTGGGACATAGTCATCTGATTAGATTATAACTGGCGCCGGGAAACTAATTACATCAAAAGCGTTCATTGTCTTAAGATCGATCCAGCCGAGGTCTGCTAATCCGACGGTTGATAATGAAAAAGGACTTGATTGGAATACATCGTACTACACAGGAGCTAATCCCGGACACAGAAAGAAGGCCACGTGGCAAATTACGTTTCACCGTCCAAAACCAAAGGATGGCGCGGAAACCCTTTCCCGCGAAACCAAAATCAGCGCGCGAAATCAGCTAATTGGTTCGTCCCTTATAAGCCACCGCCCAAAGCGAAATAACAGGAAAAATCGGTAAGTTCTTCTTAAAGTCCCCCCGTTTTCTAGCTCACCCTTTGTCTTCCCTTATCAATGGCGGTGGCTTCGTCGACGACGATGAAGAAGACAGCGATGGTTCTGAGGCGTAGAACTCAAGCTCCGAAGCGTTACTCCGATACTATATTCGGAGATGAGGATGACTTGGATTTCGAGGACGTTAGCTGCCAGAGATGCGGGTCTGGTGATTTTGGATCAAAGCTTTTGTTGTGCGACAAGTGCGATAAGGGGTATCATATATTTTGCCTTAGACCCATTCTTGTTTCGATTCCCAAAGGCGCTTGGTTCTGTCCCTCTTGCTCCAACATCAAGAAACCCCAATGTATGGTTTCTCTGCCCTCAATCTATGGTTTCTTTTTTTAGGGTTTTAACTTTTGATATAAACATAAAATTGAAATACTTTAGTTGTCAATTTTCAAAATGTGAAGACAGTGAAACATGTAAAGATTGTTTAGCTAGTTTAATGATTGATATGTGTTTTCTTTTGTTGGATTTTAATCTCTTTTGGATGGTAGAATGAAATTGGAATGTATTATTTCAGCAAAGTTAAACCATTCGTGCATTAAATCCTCTAGACACAAAAATATTGATGTGGAATTGCTATTTACTTGCATTTTACATCAAAGTGGAGAAGTCAGCGTTTGGCCATTCGTATTTTAATTTTCCCCAAACTCTCATTAATTACTGGCATCTTTCATTATATACAGTGTTTCCTTTGGTTCAAACCAAGATTGTTGATTTCTTTCGGATTCGAAGGTTGCTTGAATCTACAGAAAGGCTAAGTCAAAGTAAGTAGCAAAATTAAATGATTTGCCCCATTATTCTTTCATAGGTTTATAAAATTCTTTGACAGGTTGAGATTAACCGAAAAGTAATTGTTTTGCTTGTTGTACTTAGGCAACATCAAAAAGAGAAAGAGAGCTAGTGGGTTAGCCATGCCTAAAAAAAAACGGAAATTGCTAGCATTTAATCCGACAGAAGACCCTCAAAGGAGATTGGAACAAATGGCATCATTGGCAACAGCATTGGAGGCCTCTGGGACTGAGTACAGTAATGAGCTCACCTACAGGCCTGGCATGGCACCAAGGTCAGCTAATTCTGCAGCTCTTGAGAAGGGAGGAATGCAGGTAATGACAAGTTTTCACTCCTTTCAACTAGTTTTAATTAAACACTTAAAATTTCCGTCATGAGAAAGTAGAATATTATAGCACACCCAGTGGGACTCGAACCCACAATCGCCTGATTAGAAGTCAGGCGCCTTATCCATTAGGCCATGGGTGCTTCTTGTTATGCAATTAACATCATCACCTTTTATACGGCAGCCTTAATTTTGATGAATCGCATTACAGGTTCTACCAAAAGAAGATATAGAGTCCTTAAATTTGTGCAAGAGGATGATGGAAGAGGGGGAATGCCCTCCTCTCATGGTTGTTTTTGATCCTGTGGAAGGGTATGTAAAATGTTAATACATGCATCATCATTTTAGTACACTATTATGTACATTTAGATTCTGAGCTGGGAATTGTTATTTGATTTTTGGCAGGTTCACTGTACAGGCTGATAGATATATAAAAGATTTAACTATAATTACAGAATATGTAGGAGATGTTGATTACTTGAATAACCGTGAACATGACGATGGAGATAGCATGATGACCCTGCTTCATGCATCAAATCCTTCAAAAAGCCTTGTTATTTGTCCTGACAAGCGTGGCAACATTGCCCGGTTTGTAAATGGCATCAACAACTTCTCACCGTAAGTTCATCTTCTACATTTTTTCTCTTCTCTAGCTTGTTCAAATGTAAGAAACTGATCTTATGTAATATAAAAATGATTGTTATATATTTTTTAATGCAGGGATGGGAAAAAGAAGCAAAATGTAAAATGTGCGAGGTATGATGTCAATGGGGAGTGTCGAGTTTTGCTGATTGCTAACAGGGATATACGGAAAGGAGAAAAATTGTACTATGATTACAATGGGTATGAGCATGAATACCCTACAGAACATTTTGTGTAGCTTTTGCTTTCTCCCTGATTATAGATTCCCATACTAGGATAGAACTGATGGAATTAATTTAAAGTTAGCAAGCTAATTGTATACACATGATTGCTCTTGTCCCTGGTTCAACAGTTCTTTTTGTAACTCATTTAAGCCCTCTTATTGAGGGTTTAACATTCTGTTCAGTAGAGAAATCCAGATTTTGTTCTCTTTCCGGTTACTTTTTCCTTTTTCTTTTGTAAATAAAAAAAATGCGTTTGACCATTTCAGAACATATTATCGGAGGATTGCTCAAAAATCATACTTCAGCAGGCCCTTGTCTTCAAAGGTCAACCTGTTTAGTACCCAAGGCCTATGTTCTGGGCTAGATTTGAATGGTTAAACGTTCATGTTAGAAATGGGCCATTCTTGTTTTGAGGTACAGCGGACTTTCAGTTTTGCTAACCCAATGAGGCTTCAACTTTATGGGGCTTTTTCTTATTAAGTGGGCAGGTGTTGCGCTAATGAAAGAACAATTAATGAATGAGAAAAGGTTCCCGAAACAAGGTGAAAGAATTGAAAAAAAGTGGCTCGCCTCGTCAAAGCTAGTCTCTTCCACGAATCAAATTTGATCAAAGCTCCTCGTCTGTCAGGTGCAGATGCATTATATTACTACGTCTTTCTGATCTAATAAAGAGAAACCTGATGTGATGTAGAATGTTACGTGGGGTGAAGAACTGAAATCCTTGGTTAGAACACCAGCTTGTTGATTTTCTTCTCAACCGAGCACAGCACACTCAGCGACACTACTGCAACTAATCAAGCAATCCAATTAAAACTCTACAGTCGGAAGAGGTCTAACATTAGAAATCACTTTCAGAATTTATCTGCGTTTTAAATAATGATGGTGGTGGACGGTGAGGAAGAAGTCCAAGACTTCAAGTCATGACACATAGGAGTACCAAGTTTGCACAGAAAGCAGCAAGGACAGGGAGTCCCCCAGAAGCCCAGAACACACTCTGCCAACCTTATGATTTTTAATTAAAAGCCTCAGGACCACCCTACTGATTCAGAAATAACAAAAAAAATTAATACTTTAGGGTGGTCCAAGGTTCAGGGGCCTCCAATAAATTTTACAGTAGCTGGCGAAAGCATTCACAGGCTGATGAGAGGGTGAGTGAAAGGAAGGTGTGTGCCGTCAGATTAGTATCTGATGTACCCCCACAGAAAACTGGTCCCATTCCCACTGTTGTTAGTAAATGTGTGACTGCCATCAGATTTGGATCAGATGGCACCCCCACAAAAGGGTGGTCCTGTTCTTTGTTTTCAAGCTGTGAACTGGAAATCTTTATGTACTTTTCTTTGGGTGTTACAAGGTCTAACCCAGGCCAGCAGATAATATCCGTCGCCAGAGATTTTTCGAGGGAAACTCAAATCCCAAGGCAAGGGCTTGAGTTGTTCTCGTCCTAACAGAAATCACAGCGGTCCTGAATAGTACACTACATCAAACCATTATATTAAAGATCCTCGCTACTCTTTTATCCCATTAACTAGTAATTCAATATCAAATTTGCAGGGCTTCCATCAGTTTGTGATATGTTTATCTTTCAACTGCCAATGTTGCTCTCAAAAGAGAAGCGAGTCATTTCTTGCGAATTCAGGGAGACATAGCCGCCAAAAAAGAAACCTTGTTCATGAGACTAGCTTGATGATGATGATGATGATGATGATGAGACTGTATCTTACTTTTTCTCTTTCTAAACTATTACACTTGCTGCAATTCAGAAAGAAGGGAAAAAAAAAAAGGAAAAAAAGCGCAAAAGTCATGCTTAAGACAAAGCGGCAGTGGGTACCCGTAGTTCCATACACCATGCACAGAAATGCAACCATCAAAGACCCACCCACAAGCTTGTTTTGTGGAAACAGTCTGTCTACAACACCACAGCCTTGGTTTTTTTTTTTTCTTTTTGCTATACTCAGTTTCGAAGATGAATGAATACACAGCCGTAGTACTATGCTATGGATGATGAGGGCCATCAGCGCAAATATCTAGCATACCATCAGAATACCTGCTCTGTTGTAATATCCACTTGTGGGTATTCCCTTGCATTTTTTCAGATCCCTTCCTCTTGAAAGCTCTGCGGCTTTGTATGGCTTGGTTTGTTGCATTTTGTGAATGTTCATGAATTTCTACTACACCAACACGTCTCTCAAGATCGATATTGATGGATCTTCTGCTCCCCTTCCTGCTTAAAACTTTCAACTCGTCCGGTGCCAAAATTAAGTCCACTCTATTCCACGATCAACAATTATATATATATATATATATATATATATATATATATAACAGCATAGATATAAAATATCAGTTAATTTTGAAATATTTAAATTTGAACCCTATTAAAATCTAATTATTGTAATCTATTCAAATTCAATTAAAAATCAACATTTAATATCGAAACTCAATTATTAATACTCATAAAAGAACCAAGTCTGAACTCGAATCCAAAATAAAAAATATATTTAAAATCAAATTATATATATATTATTAATGTAAAATAATATAATAAATTAAAATTAACTCATAAAAATAAATTTAAATTTAAATTCACATTTAGAACAATTAATAAATTTTAGATAATATTATATTAACTATAATTAATTTATAAACAAAAAATTATATATAAAACTAAAATTTAATATTAAAACTTATTACTTGTAATAGAATTTAGATAATAAAATAATCCTATGACCACTACTCCAACACATAACCCACCCATGCAGCTTAGCTTTGATGGCATGATAAATGAGGAGAGATAATCAATCAACAACAAGAACTTATTGCTTGAATTTGTTAATTGTTAACCTCGCTGTGGGAATACATGAATCATTAATGAATGATCAAAACAATCAAGAAGATATAATTTCTTTGAGGTAAGAAATCCTATATAATATTAAGATGCATGGGAATATATGGTACTTTCCAGCCCAAAGAAAAATAATCAACAAATATCCATAATTTTTTTTTTCGAGAAAAGAAATCTATAATATGAAAATGGAATCCAAATTATTGAGAAATTATTTAAGCCAACTCCCTTCCTAATAAAATATCTCTTCATTAATTCATTTGAGAATCATAAGAGGAACTTTCCAGCCCAAGGTTTTTCACTTATTGGATATAAGTTAGAGCTACATATAGAACATATAAATTCTTTTTTTTCCCATTCTAAATGATTTTTTGTTTCTGGGTCATACATATAATAACAAAAATATTATAATATCTTTTAATTAAATGTTATATTAATGACAAAATATTTAAAAAAACTCCTAAATATTTTAAAAAAATAAATAAATTTTTATTTTTTATTACATTCAATCAAGTTCTTATATATTTATTTTTCATCAAATAAATTTTTATGAAAAATGTCATTCATCCTTAGTCGAATAGGTCCTTAATTTATATTAAATCTCTACTTTATGTCATGTGAACCGTTTATATAATAGTAATAATTTTTAGGCTTCAAGCAAGTCGTAATTGACATTATTAAATTCAAGACAAATCAATAAACCGTAATCCATTGTACATACCGAAGCCAACTTAGTAAACAATAAAACAGTAACCCTTCATTTTTTAAAGCGAAACTGATTTCATATTTTGCAGTGGTATACAATGAATCCAACAAAGCTTGAGAAATACTACTACTAATTTGTAACATGTAACACCCTTTGGCAGTTTAATAATTCATCATCAAATGTCGGCCAGAACAAATGTATATTGATGGTCATCATGGTAGACTTCAAACTAGCAAAAATAATTGAAAATCCGTTGAAAAAAAAAAAGAAAGAACGAAAGGAGAAAAACACAACTCCCAACATCCTCAAATAATTAATCATTTTTTCAATGATGTCGGCTGCAATTTATGGAGTAATTTAAGGTACTGTTTATGTGGCCTATGTATCCTTTGCATGAACTCATTTTTCTAATAAATAAGAGGAAGAAAGAGGGAGAGGTTCATCGTTTCCTCAACAACCAGACCCTTTTATATCTAACTGCGGCTCTGTTTTGGAGCAAGACTTTAGGATTAGGGGTTTGACATAAACTGGGATTAATGTTAAATATGGGATCGAAAATCCCAAGATTCTTAAATTTTGTCAAGTTGAGGAGATTCTGGTGCTGTTTTAAGTGGAACACGAACAGAACAAAACCACCGATGCCAAACCAGGAACTATAGACATTATTAAGCCTAGAATCTTGGGAAAGCGTGGGGGGTTTTTCCTGAGAATGATTTCTTGCTTAAGAAACAGGCAAACCGGCCCATATACATGAATAATATTATAATTTCTCTTTCTTAGTAAAGTTATATATCTGGAATTATAACTCATGTATATATGCTTATTTCTAATAATATTTTGTAGATCGTTATCATTCAATTTATACGATAATAAAAATTTATTGATTTAAAATAAATTAATTAAGATCTTTATGAGGAATCTCTATGACGAATTGAACACACAGAATAAAGAGTAAAAGGGTAAAAATGCTCCAATCTTATAGCTAGGTGTGTCAAGCTGAACTAAGCTAATAAAATCTTCATTGCAGACCCATATAGTGATAAACATAAGGTCTTGATTGGCTTTGGAATTTTCCAGATCAGAAGGGTACGTAAATAATTAAATATATATTTTCCGTAAAGTCATGCATGTAAGTGTGGGTGTGTGCTGGTGCACCAACTTTGGTTTTGGCCAGTTTTGTGGTTACCAAAACCCATAAATGACAAGTTGTAGTAGTATTGCATGCCACGTGGCACTCATGTGCACGAAAGCAAGGATCCCAATTCCCAACCCAGAGACTTTGGCTACATATATTCTCTTGGCAAGCTTTGCATAAATCATGGAAGCCTGTTTTTCATTTTTAAGTATGCAAATCTTTTTCTTAAAGTAATTAATTTGCTCATGCATGACGCTGGTTAAGAGAAAACGTGTTAGTGATTTTGCTCTTATATAGGAGCTTCTCTTTTTTAACTAATACATTAGAAACCTTTGCGACTTTTTAAGAATCAGATTGCATTGTTTATAGTAGTTCTAGCTGGTTTATTATAAGTTTCCCAACCTCGATGCGACCACATGAATGTACATTACCAATGGGCCTTACACCATACACACACGCACACACAATGTTATAATAATAAAATAAAATTGACTTGGAATAA